TCGGTGCTCAGCCTGGCTGGACGGTGCATCTGAGATAAGAGATAGGGAACCTGCGCCAGCCCCAGGCATTGACAGCACACACTCCCCCCCCACACTCCTCCCCGCCAGCTCCTCCTCATCGCTGCTGCTCCCCTCTCTTTGATCTCTTTTTCTGTCTCCCTCTGCTCATTTTCTCCTCTTTATTCTCTCCCAATCAACATTGTCCCCATCCTTCTACCAGCCCCTCACCTACCTGTCATCCTCACTGGGCTCCATGCTCCAGGGGTCAGGTGGCCTTCTGAATACTCAGAATGACAGCGAACCCAAGAAGAGAAGCTATTTACTGGTTCCGAAATGGCTTGCATTAATGGAATAATGTTTGGGGGCATTTAAATTGAATGGGTGTAATTGTAGGTGGCAACGTATAATAGTAGCTCATGCAGGGATATCATTTTGTGCTATTTTACCTTCAGGTTTTTGTTAATCCAGTGGGTTTGGTGGAATTAGAGGGCTGCTGTGAAGAGGGGGGGGGGGAAGGCTCGAGCAACCTGCTGGCCAGAGAACAGCCTTGTGGAACTAGCAGATATCGGCACGGTTAGCCTGTATGCAGCAGACAATGAGGGCAATCACCAGGGCCTGTCGAAAGAGTATTGAAGTGTCGACACAGGACATTTTTGTTGAAAGTAGTCCTTTGATTTCCTCTTCCCAGCCTAATGTATAAAAACAGACATCATGGAACACATTCATCTCCGTTTGATAGGGACGATCGTGAATACCCGGCCACGTGTGCAGTCACAGAGGTGATCCACCTGCCGAAAGTGACTGGGATCCAAAGGTTGTGAGCATCTCACCCCCATGCTGAGAGGACCGCTGTCCCGAGAGCGGAATAGGGTGAACGCTGCCGCTTCTGCTGGGAGAATAATTTAACTTCTCCAATGTTGTGCGTTTCAGCCCCGGGTCCATTTTCACTAATTAGCAAAACCTGGAGGGGTTATCTCAAAGCAAGAAGAAAGGAAAACAAAAGTAGAAGAATTTTGAACTTGGTTTTGCTGGGGGGATGGCTGTTTCTATGGGAACAGAAAGGGAGGCAGGAGCCCACTAGAGTCAGAGGCCTGGTTCCTGTCAGTTTCTCCTCCTTCCCACATTGGCCCAGTCCGCACTCCGGCTCTGGGAGTTTATGACCTCACTGGGGACCCGGTGCAAAGAAAAGAGCTTCACATAGCTGGAGAGTTTAGGAGTTTTCCACCAAACAAGAAGCTCACAGAACCCAGGCCGACTCTGACATTTGGGAGAATTCAAAGGTACTAAACCTCCTTATTTCTTAGCTTGAAACATTCCCAATCCGCTGTCACGTGGTGAACATGACTCCCAGTGTTTATTTGTGAGGTTGCTAGGGTGCTGTTTTCCACGAACTTGCTAACGTGCCCTGAAAGGAACGGCTTCTTCTCTGTCGATTCTACTCTGCCAGGAGTTTACAGGTAACATGTTGCCGGGTGTTAGACTGAGAACAGGTGTGTAACTGCAGATTGTTGAAAACAGTGTATACATATAATTCCTCAGTCTGAATGAAAGCATGACCTGACATTTCTTTGCAATTCAAAAGGCTTAGGTCTCATTGTTCTAATAATTACTGTCGGATTCACTGTATCTATTCATTCAGCAAACTGCCGTTGATCGCCGCGGTGTGCCAGGATTCAGGCCCTGGATCCTAGGAGTTACCTCAAAAAAGGCACAGTCTCTGCCCTCAGGCAAGTTATAGTCCAGACGTGTTTCTAAGACAAGGCAGATGGTTACACTATGGCATGATGAGCACTGT